CCTGCTGTCATTCCAGTTTGTTTATGGAAACACTTCAGTGAGTTAATTTCAATTCTGCTGATGCAGGGGTAAAAATCGAGTTTAAGAAGAAATAAGACCACAAAAAATACATGTCACGAAGTGATGCTTCTATTGAGGCATATAAATAGGACCCAAATTTTTTAGAGCAGCTTAGCATTATTTACTTGATTAGAAAAATGATTCTAACATCTTAATTTTTGTTCGGTTCTGTGCTTCATAAGGAGAGTTAAGTATTGCATGTAGCTTATGGTTGAAAAAGAGATGGGGGGAGAAGTTTGTTTGCTTTTTGTACCAGCTGAGTTTTACTCTTCTGTCAAAGACAGAAGTGGCAGTACTATACCCTTAATGTGAAGTGCAATTTTTTTGGTTTTGTTTAGTCAGCATATCTATGTTATCTTCCTTCTGGAAGCTGGAGGGTATACTGGGTAAGGATCACTTTGTAATGGTCCTGTTCTGTATTCTTTTTCCCTGAGCATATGCAATGGGACGCAGAAGAGATGCTGCGCTGAAGTATATGGAAACTTGGCCTGATCAGTGTACTTAATTTTTAAGCACTGGAAAAGGCTTTCTTATCAGCTATAGATCTTGTAGCGATGCCGTTGCTTGAATGGAACTTATTTGCATATAGATGTTAGACCTCAATTATTGTGAAATAACTCTGATGGCACGTCTTACAGATAATGTGTTGTCGGAAGGTGTGAAGGAGCGCTTGACTTCAGTAGCTGAAGAGATAACAGACCTGGCTTCTCACATCCCTGACTCTTCTGGACAATTTGTAAATTTGCAGAGGTTAGATTTTTGCCAGCCTGTCTCCTACTTTACCTATAAGATTGGTGTTTTGGTTTTGATCCCTGAGGTCCCATGCAACAAAACGTGTGTTAACAGCTGTCTCTGTTATCTGTGCATCCTTTTCCAAGAAAAGAAAGCACAGTACACTCGATGGGAAAATACTGTCTTTATATAGGTTTTCACTGATCTAATTGCAGTGGGTTTGACACTGAACTTTGCTGCATCTGTTTCTTCTTGCTGAAATGCACAGTGAGACTTTCTTTTATAAATACTTGGGACTCGCACATGACTACCTACTAGAAGTCTGGAGTCTTGATGCAAGTGTGGGGGCAATACCACAAACTGTTTTTGGAGAGTCTTTATAGATTTTCTTCAGTGTAAAGAAATTTAATTTTCTTCTCACACAAGCAGAATGCCAATTGCATATGAGCGATGAGCCTTTATATGTGGAATTTTGGAGGAACTGTATCAGGAGCACCAGACTACTTTAGAATCCTTGGTTCTGCCTGTGGCTAAGATGTATGTAGTAACTGCCTCTATTGTTTTGGTTTAACTGTATTGTTTCACCTTTTAGGGCTGCAGAAATACTAGCTGACATATCAGAGAATGTAAATGCCTTAAGAAGCACACTGTTTGGTTCAGGTTCCCCTTCTGTACTGGAGAGGAGCCGTGGCACAACTCCAACAAATCTTGAAGCAGAGTCAGCAAATGTTGAAGCACAGAAACTGGAAATGCCTGAATGTGCTAAACAACTTGAAGGTGACTTCAACATCTGCTCTGATGCTACACTAGCTGGCCTCTGGGAGGGAGAACTTAATGAAGAAGATGCAGAGAGAGGTAACGCTGTTGTGGAAGACGGGGCTGCAGCAGCCAGCTCTGACAAAGCAGACAGAGATGACTTCATGTCCCTAGACATTACTGAACAAGAACTTCAGATCTTGGAACACCAAGCTGCAAAAGAATTGGTCAGCAAAGCTGTGCCTGAGGTAAAGAGAAAAGCTCTCGTTAATCCTGGACACTCAGCAGAGGAAGTGATCTCATCCTTAATTTCCACAAGATGTTAAAAAGTTCTGTTCCTGAGAGGATATTAAGGTGGGCTGGAAGAAGGGTTTAGAGTCTGAAAAAATATTTGTGGAGGTTGTCAAGCACTGAGCTTCTCTTTAGTCATGTAGTTGGAAGGATTAGTACTGAATACAGAAGCTCTAGATAGTCTGATTAGTTTTCCTCTTCCAGTTGCTAATGTTATCAAAGAATTTCTTGCAATATGGGGACAAATTCTGCGTTTGAGTGTCTCCAACTTAGTCATGAATAAAAAGCAGATCTTTTTCTAAGAGATCTGTATATAGCAGTCCCTCTAATGACTGCTGAATGTGGATTGATGCCTCCTAAATCAGACTGTAATTTCCTTATGTTCTGAGTGTTTCACACATCTGGTGATACTACTGTTTTTATCTCTTACTACAGAGCCTTGTGATGTTCTAATATTTCTTTTGGATATTTTTTTAATGAGCAGGCTTCAGAGCTGAATGTTGAGCTTAGTTGTTTTTGTTAAGAAGTAAAAGCATACAGAGAAATGACTTATAGCATGATGTACAGAAGGTTGAAAGGTTGGGGTAAAATAGAAATAACTTTGGTCAAAGAAGATATTTTTTCCTTAGGAGGCATGCTCCACAGACAATGAACAAAATATTTCCTGTGTCATTGAGAGTGATGAAGAACTGGAAATGGAGATGCTTAAAGTGAGTGCCTTGATCTTTAATTTCTTTTTTTTTGTAATGGTGATGCTCTTGAGTCACAGTGGAGTGTAGTTGAGCAAAGGGAATATGAAGCAAAAAGGTGTTGCTTACAGAAGGTGGACAGAAGACAGGTGAATGTGTGGATACCTAAAGAGTTCAGTTTACTAGTGTTAGACTTCAATATCACTTGCATCCTACTGCATCTTTACTATACCAGCTTGGACTTGATCTGCCCGCTTACTGTGGTGTAGATTATCATTCATAAAATGATCTGCTCCAAGTGTCATGCATTCAAACCCTTGTCCAAGGGATTGAGCTGACAAGATGGTTTGTGTGCTGCAGGTGCTGCTAACCTGGGCTGTAGGTCAATTTGCTTCATAACTGTGTTTTGCAGGCCTCCCCTAAAGTGTTTTTGCTGGTATAACTTTTCCTGAGAAGAAAATCTAGATCTTGAGTCTTACTTTTTCTTTACCCAGCTTTTTTTCCTGATCCCCCAGAGTGATAGATGTATTTTAAGGCTGGTGACAGAACACTTCTGCCAGAGCAGTCACAAGCTTCCTAAGTCACTTCTCAGTGAAACTTGTGGCTTCATGAAAGTTAAAAAAAAAAGAAACCTCAGAAAATCCCAACCAAACAAAAAACCCTGGCCTTCAGTTTTATAAAATAACAGGTTTTCATGTCTCAAATTTCGAAGGCCTTTTTGCAAAGGAGAAACAAAGGCTGTTATAGTGGTACCCAGGAAATGGCTCTTAGAATTTGAATGCTACTGGTAAAGTAGTTTGACCACTGTGCTTTTCTGTGCTGTGTGCCAATAGATCTAAGTTTTAAGCCATAAATAGATTGCAACTCATGTGTCCCTATATCATATTACCTCAGACATGTGTTGTGTCTACCCTTTTATGCTCTGAAATAGCTTTTTTTCCTGATTTCTCAGTCTTTAGAGGATGTAGATGATGCCAAAGGAGTTTTAACTGAAGGAGAGTCCGATGAAGCCAGGAAGACTCCTGATGCAGAATTGAATGTTACAGCAGATGGTGATGAAGATGAAGGCATTGAGGAAGAGGAGGAGGAATGTTTGGGTATGTTTTAAATTATAATGCATGATTAAATAAAAAAAAATCCACTGTCTGTAGAAGCAGATGTGGAAGCACAGCCACATGTTGTGCTTAGTTTCTTAAAGTAGAAAGTTAAAGCTTATCTGTGTTTTGAAAGGAGTGCTTGTCTGTGTGTCAAGATGAAAATGTAAAGGTGTCCTTGGCTCCAAGGTTGACTTCTGCCATGACCAGTACATATTATGTATGCTTAATGGAGCAGAACTGATCTGAGGATGTGGAGGTCATACAGAATTGAGGGGACCTGTTGAGAACACAGCAGAGGGGAAGATGGTACCTTCACTACATGCTTTTGTTTTGTTGTCCCCCTGCTGCTGCTTTGTGGTAGATTTCTTAGTAAGTTCTGGCTTGCAGGTGATCTTGACCTAATACTGTGGAGCTGGCCTTGTGGAGACATATCAAATGGGGGAAAAGAGGCTGAAATGTGGGGTGAAATACACCTTGGCTTGTTTGGACTGTTACTGTGTGAAAGCTTCCTTTCCTGGTTATGTGAGTTAGGCTGTGGCCCTTGTCACTAAAAGTAACAGCGTCAGCCAGGAGAAAAGCCACTTGCTGCTTTGAAGCAGAATGTGTGTAGATAGATGAGGATGAAAAAGTTAATTGTTTCTTTCTTCAGTTCATCTCTAAATAGCCAGACAGGCTGTTACAGGGAATGTGTGCTTGCCCAACAGACAAAAACTAGGTGGAAATGTGATCCTTTCTATTGCTGAATGTTAAATACAAATTTCACACCTATCTAGAATACATTTCGGTGTTCACAGCAAGATCAGGATCCCCTTGTATGTCATTTTTGTACCATGGCTTTGTTAGCAGCTTCCTGTGTGGGGTATTGATAAGAGTAACTTCATTAGGGCCTTGAAAGGCATGCCTAGTGAAACATCTCTAGTACCTCATCTGAATGTGTTCCAAGTAATGCAGTTATGCATTACAATACCTTATGCTTTATCTCACTAATCAAGCCATATGTTCTCCTCCTCATGCAGGGTCTCTGAGGAGCCTGTTTGCTTTTTCAATCCTTTATTTTAGTGGGTAAATATCTCTAGAGTTTGATACGTCTCTCTTTTCACTGGGGTTGCCCAGATCCTAGGCCCTGGGCATCACTAACCATGAGCAGACCGTTGTTTGTCAAGACAGTGCTTTGTCTTTTTAGAATTTAATCACAGATGAGGTTTTTTCTCTTCTCTGCCACTAAAGATCCATTGCTGCCAGTACCTAGTGAAAGCCATATCGCATGTCTGAAGACATATTTTGGGCATTCTTCTTTTAAACCGTAAGTATATTTTCTGTTAAAATACATGCTTTAGAGTTCATTTTCTTTCCTGTCTTTCAACTCAGATGTTTGTTTTATTACTACTTACTTTAGAAGCCACTAACAAAGTAGGACCTGTGCAAAATCCCTAGGAAAAGCAGCCTTTTCACAAGATGTCAAAATAAATCTTATGGAGTGTTAACTACAATGCTGTACTCCCACAGAGGATGAGTTTCTTGACTCTTCTGATGGCATATCTCCTGTCATTAAAGCTTTGTTGTATCAGGTTTGTCAGCAAGCAACAAACTGCACAGATGTTAATCTCTGTATGATAAAGTTCAGTAATCAGGTTATCCTTTGTTATGTGGCTCTAATTAAGGAAGGATAAGCTCCTCTCTGCCTATCTAGCCTGGCATAATCTCAATGCAGTATGTGCTTATGTACTCGAGCATTGCTGTTACAGTTCTTGAGTTCAGTGGGAATGGGATGAAATCTTCCTGGTGGTGGAATGCTTTCTGTGCAAGACAAGGCCTAAGAGCAGCACTTGGTGGGGAGGGAGGGGGGCAGGCAGAAGCTGTTTTAGTCAATTGAAATATTTGGTGAGCTTGGAAACGAGGGTGCAGGGTCTTTTTAAATTGACCGCGGTTATGTACATCTGCGAGACCACAAAAAGCATGAAAATTGTTTGGGAAAATCAAGATCCTGTTTAGAATATCTTGTGTTGAAGATAACTTTAGTTTTCACAGTGTTTGTGGATCAGTTAATGTATGGGAGACACGGATTTGTGATCTTATGTGAATGATTGCATCAAATGTTGCTTTCCTTAGTCCTGTTAGATACACACTGTAACGCTGGTGGGACTAGCCGCAGTACTTGGAGTGTTTAAGCGGTTGCAGTGTGCAAAGACAACACTATATAAGGCAGTTGAAAGGGCTTCTTTAACCTGAAATTCAACTGGATATGCAGTTTGACAAAAATTACTTGTTACGTGTGGTGGCAAAAATAAAATATTCGCCTTTAATTTAAAGGGTCCAGTGGAAAGTGATCAATTCTGTTTTAGAAGACAGAAGAGATAATCTTGTTGTCATGGCAACTGGTAAGTTACCTTTACATCCTAAGAAGCAGCAAAAAATCTTCCTCTTTGGGGAGAATAGGACTCAAACTTGGAGGTTGTCCATGTGGCTTGTATGAGCAGGGTGCCCTGACTGAGCCTGTAGGTCTGAGCCAGCTATGCTGGCTGCTTGTTTTTCTGTCCTAGCCTTTGTCACTGACCTTAGTGTAGAGAGGGGTATTGAATAGATGCTGAGCATGTTTACCTTGCGTCCTTGTTTCTCTACCAGCAGAACGAACATCAACTTTCAACAAGGTGTTAGAATTGTCTTATAGCTGTATGTTATAGCTGTGTAGAAAGCATGGTATTTCACTTCTGCCTTTTTTCTTTAAGGCTATGGAAAAAGCTTGTGCTACCAGTTTCCTCCTGTTTACACTGGATGTACAGGAATTGTTATCTGTCCTCTTATCTCCTTGATGGAGGACCAGGTGCTGCAGCTGACGTAAGTAACACTGTAGTAAGAAGCTGCTGCTGTATTGCCTGTGGAAACCCACGGATTCTGCTTGTGGCATTTCTTGGTGTTTAGGGTTGCAGCTTAGTACAGCAAGCTGTTTGTGTGTCATCTGTAAGCATATGTTTCTAAAGAAACACATGCAAACTGTGTACATGGGCTAAGATCACTGGATTTGCCAGCTACGTGAACTGTAGGCTGGATTTGCGAAGGATTTCTGCTGGTGGGTGGTTCCTGAAGGTGCATCCTTCTCAAGTATTTCTGGATTCACAGCCCCTTTTTGTGCAGACCAAACTGATGGAGGAGCTTTGCAGGCTGTTTCAGCCTGAGAGAGTAATGTCAAAATTTGGTAGGGCTTCCTTGGGATCTGAGAAGTAACATCTGAACAACATACAGCTGGAAGCTCTAGACTGTTCAGATCAGAGTTAAGGCACTGACTTTTAAGGAGGACAGTGTAGTAGGTCTCCTAACACCTGGCCTCTTTGCTTCTTAAAAGGTCTGATGGGGGAACTAGTGGGTGACACAGAACTGCTGCTATATGAGCAGTTATAGGTGGTGTCAAGATAAGTCTCTTTGATTTTAATAACTGATAATCCTTTCTCTATGTACTTGCTTTCTGTTATAACAGCTATTCCCTTCTGACGTTTTTTTCATTTAAGCTCTGAGTATCATGCTGAGTTGTCTAGTTCAGTCCTGCTTTGTCCACCCTGGAAAGAGCAGGTCTTCTGTGGAAAAAGGGGATATGAAGATTTTTTGAAGCAAGGAACATCAATTATGTATCATATTTTCTGCTGCACATCATGACTGTGTGCAGATGAATGGCTGGACAGCCAAAGCTGGCTCTATAGCTAGCTCCTAGACCAAGTATTAATCAGCGGGGTGTCCATATGTATTCAGCTGCTGCTTTGGCTTTTATACTGTTTTCCTCAGTGGAGAGGGTTTATTCACTACCTTCTCAGTGGGTCATTCATTCTGAAGGCTGAGGAGATGGAATTTCTACAACCTAATGCAATTCAGTAATTTGTCTGTCTGGGTGCAGTTCTGCCAAGGACTAAAACAGAAGAATGAGGGGGGGAGAAGCTGTTGAAATGAAGGGCTGTAATAAAATGCAGTAAATAACCAAGTTAACAGGACAGGGGTTGCAGGGTCCTGAAAGAGGTTAAATACTAAGTGGCTGAGCTGGTAAGCATAATTACCAAATCTGTCATTAAAAAGAAGCCACCTGATTGAAAATTAGCAGTTTTAACACCAGTAGCTCACAGAAGGTTGAAAAGCAAGGCAAAAAATTGCAAGCTACTCAGGCTTGCATCCAAATCTAATGAATTGCATAAGATAATAGCTAAAGAGAATGTACTTACAGTATTTTCTTTTTGGATGTTTTATTAGTAAGTTTGGCTCTTGTGCAAGGCAAATAGTCTTTATTTCTCCCATTCCTTATTGTGCTAATCAAGTGCGTGTGTGGTGGGGGACAGCTGGGGGGGAGTAAGAAGAGCATTTGGGTGGCGGGAATAGCCACTGACCACTCTTGCTCTTTCAAAGGGTTTTTCCCCACAAAGATCTCTGGAAGAAAGTAGTCTCTGACAGCGCAGCTTGAACTTCCTTTGCAATGTGCTGGCATGGGCTGAAAGCTAAGGCAGAAAGCATTGAGAGTAAATGTGTTCATGACTGTGCTTTTTATTTCTGCAGAACGTCGGGGATTCCAGCTTGCTTGCTTGGTTCAGCTCAGTCGAAAAACATGAAAGATGGCATCAAGGCGTAAGTCCTAGCTAAGCTTTCTGGGACTGCGGGTTCAGATGTAGTTGTATTTGAGGGGTAGGATGTCTCCCTGATCTGTCATCCTTGAAACTCTTGATTCTGGCCCAGACCTGGAACCTGGTAGTCAGTGATATTGCTTGCACTCGCCCAGGCTGAGTGTGTGGGAGGCCATAGCCACCCTCTTGTGCCCTCTGGCTGGGGAGGTGGGGCTTGATTGACTCAGCTTCGTATTGTGATTTATACAGGATTTACATAGGTCTTAGACCTACGTCTGTCACCAATTTGTCACAACAGTCCCTTCTTGTTCCAGTCCCATCTTGTTCTAAAGGCTAGTAAATCTCTCTCCTGTTTTTCCTTTTCCTGTAATACTGTGTACTGCTTTGCTTTCCTACTGTTCTGGAATGCTTTTTACAGTCTTCACTTCCTTCCTCTTGTTCCTTATGCAGAAGCCTGTACTTGTTTTCATTTATACCTACTAGAGAATCATGGTTTTGTTTCATTTGGTTGAGTTTTCTGGGGCTTTTCCTTCTATGACCATGTATTTTCTTGATGTTTCAGGGGTCAGTACAGAGTCATATATATGACTCCAGAGTTTTGTTCGGGGAACTTAGAGTTACTTCAGGATCTTGACCAAACTATTGGTAAGTTGGTGAAAAGGTTGTGGATGAGTTGGCAGGCGGCTTAAATTCATAATTACATTTAAACTTTTGTAATGTTTGGACACTCTTCACCAGTTTGTTACGAGTGAGCTCAGAGGCTAGGGTAGTGACTGCCAATAAATGGTGTCAGAAGATCCTATCATTGATTAAAAAAAAATGTGTGTAGTATCTTGGTGTGGGAATGTTAAACAAGTTACTGGGAACAGAGGTGCTAAAACACTGATCTTTGAATCACAGGAAGTGGAATACATGTTAGCCTTGTAAGTCTTCTGATCTCTCTGATCTTTCTCAGAATGTAACAATGAAACTGTTTCAAAACACTATAGTGCATCTTCAAAATTCTCTTTTCATCAAAGATGATGCAGCTCTCATAGTAGGATAAATTCAAGGCATGTAAAATCTAAGATTTTTTTTTTACTAAGAAAGAGCTGCTAGTGCTGTAGGCAGGGAAGACTGTAGGGAGAAGCCAAGCCATCTGAATTTCTGGAGTCCCAAGAAACTGTATGCTCTGACACTAGGGTGCTTTGAATGTGCAAATTAGAGTGGGATATTAGAACTCAAGTTGAGAGATTTTTCTGATTTGGAAAATAGAAGGTTATTTTCCAGGGGCATCTTTAACCCCTCTCCCTATTTTTCTGGACTTTCACTTATGTCTTCAGTGCAGACCTGAGACACTCTGGCTTTGTTTTACAATGCAGAAAATAGAACTAAGACATGTGTAATTAGCATTTGTGACTATTAAGAAACACTGGTAAGCAGGGGGTGGGAAGAGGTCCTGTCAGAGGTAGCTCAAGATTTTTGACCCGTTGTGAGGGATGTTGGAGATTTGGAGCTTGGAGGAGAAGGAAGCAGAGGTGGTGCTGGGCAAGTCTGTGAAAGCTCTTAGGCCCTTTTACTAGAGGCCATTATAAAAATGGGCTTGGGGAGTCAGTACAGCAGAAGGCATTTTAGAAACAGAAGTTTAACGAGGTTGCTGGTGCCTTCTTGGGCAAGCTTGAAATTGAGCAGAATGGGGTGTTTGTGTTTGGTCGCTTACTGTGTTGGTTACCATTAATGAGTCCCTGCTGTGGTTTTGTGCCCACCAGGTATTACCCTCATAGCTGTTGATGAAGCTCACTGCATTTCTCAGTGGGGCCATGACTTCAGAAATTCCTATAGAAGTTTAGGCTCCCTGAAGAAGGCTCTGCCATTGGTGAGGTTTTGATATGTTTGATTTCCAATGTCAGAAGGATACTATCTCATGTTATATGATCATTTGAAATAATCCATCTTTTGATGTTGCTCTTTGGGTATACTTACCATGCTGTCTTGGAGTTTATGCAGTCCCTGGCAGTGGTTGAGCTTTGTGGGCTTTTTCCAGATGCTTAAATGAAGGATATTCTGAACTAGGACTAACAGACTTCTGAAAATTAAACTGTTATTGAATTCTTGCGCTGGAGAAGATGGTATCCCTAAGCCTCTGGATTAATATTGAGGGATTTATTTTTAAACTGGCTCACTGAGTGGCTTGCAAGAGCAAGCAACTGTGATTTCGAGACACGCCTCAAGCATTTATCGCATAAGCTCAGAAATGTAGGCCTGAACTTTACATACTGCTCTTGGAAGTTTCATCATGTGCTCCCTAAATGTAGCCAACCACACTAAGTATTAACTCTAGTTAAGTATTAACTATATTTTTCAAATAATTGAGCTGATGCAGTGATCATGAACAGATTAAAGTGCTTGTGTACGTACTATTTCAAGTTCAACTCATAATTCTTTTTTTTTGTTTAAAAAGAAACAGAGCTCTCTGACTTTCTTCTGCTTTTCATTGCAGGTTCCCATCGTTGCTTTAACTGCAACTGCAAGTCCATCAATTAGAGAAGACATTGTGAGTTGCCTGACCCTGAAGAATCCCCAGGTCACCTGTACGAGTTTTGACAGACCGAACCTGTACTTAGAAGTTGGACGACAAAGTGGAGATATCCTTAAGGATTTGAAGCAGTTCCTTACTAGGAAAGGAAGGTAAGGGACTTAAGCCCGTTTTCATTGATCCTTCAGATATACATTGGCATTTTGGAGTTTTAGTAGTGTCTACTAAGAATTGGTAGCAGTCTTGAACTGATTTGGTGAGGAGGAGCCTGGGCTCTCTCTGGAGCTTGGCTCTGATACCATGCTAGCTGCTTGTCGTGTCCTATGCTGTCCCCCCTCTTCCAAATGAAAAACGGCTTTTGAGGCAAGGAGCAATGGACTTTCTCTGCTAGCATGTTGATAACTTAAGGATCTTCAAGATCATTTGATCTTAAGAGGACCCGCTGTAGCAATTTGAATGATTATGATGGATTGGCTGGTGGGTAACTTTCTAAACAGGGTTGTACAAAATGCGTGTGAGTGTTATAAATCTGTGGTAACACTATTTTTTTAGTAAAGCTAATCTGAGCAGAACAATTGCTGTCCTTTTCTGTTAGACCCAGTGGTGTATCCATTCTGGCCCTGTTTTCCGTGTCACAAGCTACAATGTGTGCCTTTACAGCAACATGAATGAATTTCTTGTTGCTCATTTGTACCTTGTTACATAAATGTAGACCTTTGAAAAACAACAGCTGTAGGAGCATATTTCCTCATGACTTAAAGGAAATTGAGAGGCCTTATCCTGCTGCTTCTACAGAGACCAAAATCTTTTGTGTGTTAGAAAATAAACTTAAGAGCACCAGAACTTCCAAGTCCATTTTTCCAAAGGACAGGCAATTTATGTACCTTAAAACAGTTAAAATCTGTTTTGACTTCTAAATCCCCAAGAAAGTGAACTGCTAGGAGAGCTGTGTTGCCTTTTCAACTAGGTTCAGTCAGATTTTTTTGCAGAAGGGTGGTTCTGTTCTGTGTCTTTACATGTTGCTATTACTTATAGCAGTTCTGCGTATGAGTTTGAAGGCCCCACTATCATCTACTGCCCTTCAAGAAAGGCCACTGAACAGGTTGTGTCTGAATTGATTAAACTCAATGTGCCCTGTCGTGCATACCATGCTGGTATGGGAATGAAACAAAGGAAAGACACCCATCACCAGTTCATGAGGGATGAAATTCAGGTATGTAGTAAACCAAAGTCTGCTTGGTCCTATTTATCCTTGTAGTGCTTGTGGTAGAGGAAATAATTTGGAAGTATCAGCATGTGTTTCCTATTTGCTCTGTCTGTCTCCAATTTTGGGCAAAGAAATTGCTGGTCTGTGCTGACAGTAATAGGATTCCTGGCTTATGTTTCAAATGCCTTTAAGTCTCTCAAAAATACATAGCATTTGAGGAAAATAGTAGTAGCTGGCACAATATCATCACAAGTTCTGTGAGCTGCTTTCTTCCTTCTGCACCTAAGCAGGCAAAGAGTTATCCTGGGACGACTTGTGTTCCTCTTTGTGATAGATTTTTGTGCTTTTTGAGAATAACTGCCTGAGAACACTCTAGCATTTGCCACAACATATCATCACTCTGATGTTTATAACTGCATTCATGCTCTGACCAAAAATCAACAGTATTGTGGAAGTTGTGTGAGTTTGAAGCCATTGTAATTTAGGCTGAATTTTGAGTCCATAGCAAAAAGTTGTCACCAAGTGTGTAAGTATTAATCCAGGCATATTCTTGATGCTTACTTCAAAACGTTCAGCATGTGGATCCTGTTTTGTAGTGTGTTGTGGCTACAGTGGCATTTGGAATGGGCATCAATAAAGCAGATATCCGGATGGTTATTCATTATGGTGCCCCTAAGGAAATGGAAACGTATTATCAAGAAATTGGGAGAGCTGGTCGCGATGGGCTTCCTGCTTCTTGTCATGTCTTGTGGACTGCAGCAGACTTGGCTTTTAACAGGTAAATATCTGAGGACAACTGCTTTGACATGGATAGCCAAAACATACCAAAAGAAAGAGGAGCAGGATGAGTTTGGTGGAAAGTGTGTTTTATTTTTCTTTCTAGATGTCTAAATGGAGAAATAGTGGTGTGGTGTGTTTTTTTTTCTTCTGTGTGGGGGAGTCCTGGTTGTAGAAGTCTCCTGTTAACTTTGTCCATAGCTCATATAGGACCACAGAAAGGTCTGATGTTAGTGAGCTGAACTTGTCAGCAGACTGCTGGAGTCTGTGAAACTATATATTTCCGTGCTCTTTTTTCCAGGCAGGCGGAAACTTGCTTTGCTCAACTTAGAGCTGGAATGGTGTAGCTGTGTTAAGGTGGTGCCCCATGTCTGCAGTATTGGCTTGTTTTCAGTGCTGTGTGGTGCAGATGGTAGCTCAGGTTTGGCTCGTGAAGCAGCTTGGAGCATGGGCAGAGCACGTGTTCCATACACCCGTCAAGTACTCCCATGCTATTATCTAAGTTGGATTCTTCCAGGGATTACTATAAAGGATATTAAATTAGGCAACAAGTAGGCATGCCCTAACCTGCCACCTCTGAGTTTCTTGAAAGAGTGATGGTATCCTCACATATTTTGTAATCTAGCTGTGGCATTGGTGAGTGTAGAGAACTAGAGAGAGGAATTGCGTGCTCTCAATGCCCGCTACCCTTTCCTCCTTTGGGCATGGATTTTTTTGAAGCTTAGTAGCCCGTGGGTTGGAAGAAGCTTTCTCCTTCTGCCCTGTTTAGAATAACCATCGTATTCAGAAGAATATGCATAAGGTGCTCTTCTGAATATGCCCTGTGCTAGTATACGGATCAAAACTGTGGAAAAACAGGCAGGCAGATTGGGTCTGGCTTTAGTAGGGTGGGTTTTTTACCTGATTGATGAATTTGAGACAGTTATCTGGCCTGTTTCATTTTTGGTGTGGGAGAGGGGCATAGTGGTCAGTATTTAAGGCTCTTTTTTCATTTTGACTGACAGACATCTTCTAAATGAGATACGCAATGAAAAGTTCCGGTTGTACAAACTGATGATGTTGGTAAAAATAGAGAAGTACCTTGTGTCAAATAGCTGCAGGAGGAAGTGAGTACTGGAATCTACTTGATGCTTTATGTCATTTCAGCCAGCTTTAAGAGCCATTGCAACTTGGTCACAACTGGAGGCTGTAACCAGAAGTCATCTTATACTCACAATGTGTTCTGCAAACATGTTTTATGTTAAAAAGCAGTATCAAAAAATATGGCCTTCAGCATATTTATACATATACATCAAGTGTTTCCTTATTTGCTTTTCAAAAAAACCCACTTTTTCTTTAGAGGAATCGAGGCCAAATAATTGGCTCCCCAGTGAATTAATTAATGATGCTGATTTCAACTCTGTTTTCTGTGTTGAATTTAATGTGTAAATTCTTGGTTGTTTTATTTAATTCCCTGCATTCCCTTGGGTAGAATCATCCTGTCTCATTTTGAAGACAAACAACTCCGAAAGGTTTCCTCTGGCATCATGGGCACAGAAGAATGCTGTGATAATTGCAGGTCCAGGTAAGCTTTCTTCCCTGAAGACTGATAGAAGAGGTTATGTTCTCTCAGGCTGATTTACAAGGCAAATTATCTAAAAGAATTGACTATTTATGTATCTGATCTTGCAGATGTTCAGCCTGAAGTTTATCTTTGAACAGCTGTCTCTAACCTTCTCCTAAATAGTTGAGCAAGCCATGAGGCAGTTTATAAACTCTAAATTAAGCTATGGGAAAGCCTGTAATCAAAGTATGGCCACAGTTCCTGAAAGGATTAAGAGCAACACTCTCAGACTGTGAAATACACTTTTGTTCATCAGTTTAAGTCCTGTTGGGTAATTAATCCCAAAAGATGCCATGTGTCTAAGGTTAAATTGCCAGAGTATTAAGGGAGCTGGTCTCCTGTTGCGGTGTATGCTGACATGTATTCTTTCTAGCATTGCTAATCTCATAGATGTGCTGAAGGGAAGCCAGGGGTTGGTAGTGACATGGGTATGAGCAGAAACACCTTCCTCAAGTTTCTCCTGTGTGCATGTACATGCTTTTCTTCAAGTTATAGTAAAGGATTCCTTGTTCTTGCTGGTAGCCTGATGCTCCCTGATCAGAGTCAAGACACTACGCTGTGTTGCTTTGCGGAAAAATGTTACCAGTTCAGCTACGTTTCCTGAATGCTTGAGGATTAAGAAATACTTGCCTGGCCTCTAGTAAAAGCAACCAAGAGGAGAATTTGAGAGATCATAATAACAATCTCTGCAGTCGTGTTGCTGTGCCAGTAAAGAGCCACATAGTGAATTTGTGTTGCAGAACTGAAATAATTTGAAATAAATCATTGTCCTTTTTCTCTTCCTTAGAAGTGATTTGTGCCAATAATTTTTCAATGGGTTTTTCCAGTCAGTAATAAACGCACTGACAAACCCTAGAAAGTCTTTGATGGGGTTACTTTTTCCTTCTATTTTTCCTTTGTGTTATTTAAAAAAAAAGACAAAAGCCTCTGCTATTAGGTGCGATTAAAGAATGTATGCCTAAAACATCCAGTGCTCAAATACTAAATTCAGAAGATTGCTGAGACCGTGTTGTTCTGTCACAGCAAGAACCATGAAGAGCTGCTTATTGTTGGGTTGGGCAGCTGCCTTAACCACAAGTAATTTTGTCTTGTGCTTGGTCTCAGGTTTTCAGTCCTAGTTCTTTACACTTAAGTAAATTGGGGTTTTTTTAATGGTTTATATCAATGTAAATTGAAGTGTATATTTTATTTAGTTATCACTCTATTTTAAAGAAGGGGAGAGGACTTGATTTTTATGCGTGCTAAACTTGGTTTCCTTTGTGCATTTCAGAGCCTCTTGTTTTGCAGTCCCCAGTGACTCAGAAGGTGGTTTACAGGACTTTGGGAAGCAAGCGTATCAGCTGCTGTCTGCAGTGACTGCCCTGGAAGAGAAATTTGGAACTAGACTTCCCATTCTGTTTCTCCGAGGGTCTGTAAGTGATAGTAAAAATCCTTGTATGCGTGCTGAGAGTGAAGGGACTGTTGGTGTCCCTTTTGATCGATATACCAAACAATACACTGATATACATACCTATAAATATGTGTGCACATGCATGTGTGTTTAGTACCTTTTTCTTGGAGAGCTGGATATTTGGTGAGAGGTAGTCTAGATTTTTCTGAAGCTGCTCAGCAGCACTTCCCATGCAGCGAAGTAAATGGTCTTTGAAGGTAAGAGCCATAAAAATAATGGACCTGCTAAGCATGTTCTACTTCATTTTGTGTATGTTCAGCAAAGGAACAATCTCTGCCTCCAAGCTCTCTTTTTCAGCCTCTATGGCCCAAGAGTTCAGCTTAGAAATAGTACCTTTTATTTACCTTGTGTGGAGCTGTCCTGTATTTTGTGGGTTTTTTTGAGTTATTGACTTTTGTCTGTAAAACACATGAACACCAGCCCAAGTATTGGCAGAGGTTTGAAAGCTCTTCCTGTAAAGCTTGAGCTTGTTTTCCTTTATGGGGAGTTTGATGTTTTCATAGAGGCAGTTAAGTATATTTTTTAATGAAGATGTGTGATTTCCTTTATCCTGAAAGGAATAGCCTTTTCAGAATGAAGAATAAAACACATCTTTGCTTGGTAATCAGTTGGTTTATGCTTGAGTAAAGCAAATGATGGTTTGTGTTCTAGTTTTGTATTGCTGGCTGACTTGGAGTGGTGAGATGGGAAGTAGGATACTAGAATGAATATAGATTATTTATTTCTATGTACCTTTCCTTATGTTTTTTAAATACCAGGCAGGAAACTCACCAGAAATATGAGAGTAAGAACAGAATCACTTATGTTTACAACCTTGGGGAAAAAAAACACTTGTAGTACTTGATAAAACTGGATGAATGATGTCCCTCTCTTTTCCTTTTAAAAAGGAAGTTAAATTGCTAATGGTCACAAGCATGTCTAGGGGAAAAATATTCTGTTACAGATTATAATGTAGTCTTGATTGTTAATTTATTAGACATTACTAGAAGAAGTGAAGATGGTGCCGGTTTTGTACTGCAAATATAGAATAACCTTTCACTGCCTACAAGAACACTCTTATCTGGGCTAGCATAACTTTAAGTCTCTTTACTTTGTTGCATCAACATATAGGCTAGAACATATGTATGAAATACTGTCACCGTAAGTTTGCATGCTATGTCTGAGACTCAGTGGTATGTTGCTTTAAAGGCTTCTGTTGACTTTATGGAGAATTCATGCTCTTTAAGTTAGTGGTAACTTTTTGCAAAGTCCAGGTGGCCTCCAACAGGATTTGGGTTGGCCACAAGGCAGACCATGTTTCACCTGGAATTTGAAAGCTGAGTCAGACCATGAAAGCAGACAAGGTCATCTGGGAAACTGAATTAGAGCTGCATTGACAGAAATATCGTACTAACCTGTCTAAGCAAAGAAGCATGTGCAACATTTAAGGTCTCCTTTTATCAGCAAATAGGAGGATTTGTAGTTATTTCAGCAATTATTTTATTGTTAGTAGTCTGTGACTGACTGCGAGTGGCTTTTAGTAGTACCTCTAGCATTTAGTAACTTGTACAAAGTTGAAATTGCTGGTTTGGCTTCTGTTGGTCAGTCCTATGCCAAGCTTAACTGACAATGCTTAGCCCAAACATGGGCACAAAGTTTACTGTTTTGCGTTACTTCTGTAGTTGAATTTGTTCCCCAAGTCAGAACCATGCTCTGAAAATGTGTAGCTGTTGGAGTAATTAATGTAACTGGTGTAACTGAAAACTTAGGAATGTAGTCATGCTTTCGAGTAAGATGTGTTACGAGTTGAATGGGGGCTTTCTAGAAGAGGACTTGATGCTTTCTCTTTGCCTGCTGAGTAGGTGACTAGCTTGTGTTCATCAGGACTCTGTGCCCTGGTCCCCTCCAGCAGCAAGCTGAGTCCCTCTTGCCTGCAGCTGGCTGTTCAGCTTCTATCTCCTGCTGCTAAAGGCCTGAAACGAGCCCCTCTTCCTGCTGCTGATCTCACTGCATGTGCAGGATAGCAGCTCCTTGACTGTCTGAAATTC